CTATATACCAATATATGCAATTAGACAGTTATTAAGTATTTTCAAAGATGAAAGTGATGAGTTCCTGAATTGAATCAGCCTCCAATGAATGCGTGATGGGAAGCCCTTTGCCCTCTTTCAGCCTGGAGTTTATCTGTCGTCATGTGACATGAAAATGGCATGGACTGTGTAAACTACTTCTTTATAAATGACAAATGAAAAGATGTGTAAGGCATGCTTGTTAAATATCTAGAAGACACGAAGCTAGGAGTGAAAGTGGAAGACTAATATATTGAATAATAAAAGTATGGATGTCAGTAAATAAGAACATTGTGCTAAAAACAAGATGTTGAATTTAATAAGAATAAATAGAAAGTCCCGCATTTAGTTTCAAAAATTCAATAATGTTAAGTTCAGGGTAGGAGACAGCTGTAATTTTCACATTCAAAAAAATCCTGCATTCTTTCCAATTAACCAAAACCTTTGCTCAATATTCTAAAATGCTCGCTGAGTACCAGGCACCAGGTGGGCACTGTGGAACCTTGCAACCCAATGCACCTGCAAATGCAAATTAATTGGCCAACAATGTGCAGTTCAAGTGAGAAAATATTTCCACTGAGGAGATCTCGTTAGGAATAGACACAACATTCTAAGAAGGTCATAGTTGATAATATAGCTTATAGAAGAGGGAGGCTAGACTGGTGAGTGACAGGGAAACCAGGCTGGATGGAAATATTGAGTGACCACAGGATGTTTAGTCTAGAGAAGAAAAGATTATGGGACTTTGATGGTTGTTTTCTAGCATTTGGAGAGCTATTGTGTGACAAGTGGAGCCTTAAGACTTTTTTTGCATTATTTTAGTTCAACAAGTGGGCTGAAAGTTAGACAGGGGCAGATTCATTTTGATGTCTTAAAAAGCTTTCCTGCCAACTGTGGGAAAGGCTGCCTCTGAAGGCACCTCGCCCCATGAGGATTCCAGCAGAAACTAGCTGACCGTCTGCCACATAGACTTCTCCCTTCTGGAAAGACTGCATTGTGTCAGCAGCTGGAAAGAGTGATCTCTGAGGATCTCTTCTATATTAATTCTTTCATTTTTAGTTTTCAAATTACATGGGAAGTAATGTGACTTTTCACATACCTTCCTTAAGATCCCCAAGAATTTTGCTGGCTTACAACTAATTTTGTTTCCCGTTTTCCCCACCTTCACTGGCGGAGACAACCTTGACAGTTCGCAGAAAGTTAACAGAATGTCATAGAAAATACACTCCAGAAGTTCAAGTACACTGCTGACCCATCTGGAATGGTCATAAAAACTTAGACTGTGTCTTCATTCACTCACGAGTTGGTCACATAAATACCAGTAATCGCCAGAACAGACGAGAAGGGGGAAATTTTGCCTCAATTGAGGGAAGCAGAGAGAGGAAGTTCACAAACCAAAGCCCATGACTGCAACATATACAAGGCTGTACATCCAACTGCAGCTCAAGGTGGGCCGGGGGGGGGGGGGGGCGCGGAGACTGACGGTGCCCTGAGCTGGGCGAGTTGCCAGAGGGGGGAGGCACCTCTCAGCTCTTTGGAGCTGCTCTAAAATTCACTGTGGCTCTATTGCTCAAGCTTCTCAGTCAAGGGAAGCACCTTCTAGACACCTGTTATGTTCTTAGATGTGCTCAGGTGTCATCATCCAACTAAGAGGAAGATTTGCTACAGCCTCAGCTGGCCATATGTGTTGTCAACTTACAATCAAGGAACACTTGGTCAGGAGGTTGCCTTTAATACAACAAAATGTACTGTTCTGGGAGAAAAGACCGATGAAATACTTCTGCCAAAAGTTGCCATCACCAAAAACTGTATTTATCTCTTTATCTCTTATGAAATATATCATTTTGGCATTGTGTAGATCTGTTTATTTTAGAAGAGTGAAGTTTTAGTTTCTGAATATCTTATAAACCTATTTATAGAGGTTAATAAGTAAATATAGGTAGAAGCCCAGTTTCAGTAATTACCATTAACCAAAAATCATGTTACAGTGAAGCATATACCTTATTTTTAAGTGGAAATTCTTACATGATCTAAAAATAATTACTTGGCATTGTAACAACAGCCACTAGAAATAACTGGATAAAACACGATTTCAAATTAGTTGCATGATTGCAGATTTAGGGAGACTTTATAGGACTTAAAATAGCTACTAACAATGATGCTGAGCAGGAAAAATAAATAGCATTTTATATTACTATCTGGTAGCTTTGTCAAGTATAAGAACCATTATTATAGAGAGCAATTATAGAGAGCAAATCGTGATAGCTATTTTATATATAAAAGTATAATGAGAAACATTATTTCTCATGAAGTCTGCTGCTTTCTACTGCTCCAGTAACCATAGGTATGCTGAGTAACTAGTGATGGCAACAAAGGGGAAAAAGAAAGAGCCAATCTCCTTTTTCCAACCTATTTAAGGGCCCGCCCGCTATTGTATTTAGACAGCAGCTCACCCCCACCCAGAGGCTGAGGCTTTTCCCATATAACATCCTAGAAAGGCCATTCCAAGGTAGTTGTCTTTTGTACCTGTGAAAAGAGCAACACTTCACAGCTGAGTTTTCTTTGGTAAACCCACTTTGATCAATTTTAATCCAAGTGCACAAACCATTTTAACATAAGATGAATGAAAAGGCACCTGAGAAGTAATACTAACACTCCAGATATTAAATTCATTCACTGAATTCACTTAACCCTCACAAGAACCTTGTGAAATAGGTGCTATAATTATCCCCCTTAAAAAATGGAAGAAACTGAGGCACAAACGGTTTTAAGGAATTTGTCTGTGATCACACAACTAACAACTGGCAGAAGAGAGATTTGAATTCACACAGCCGGTCTGGTTCCCAAGTCCAAGTACTTAAGCAATAAGCTGTACTGTCTCTTCATGATGGTATGGAGGTAAAATGAATCAAGTGCCTCGTGTGTACCAGGCACTGTGTTAATCCCTTTATATACATTAGCACATTAAGTTCACCAGTTGGGTAAAAGGGATAACAAAAGAATCACCAGGTCACCTGTTGATTGATACAACATCCTAGCTTGGATGTGGTCTCTGTGTTGCTGGGATTGCAAAATGCTAGCAGGAAGAAGTTACTGTCTTTTCTTCTCCTCTCAGGGGTGGAATGGTCCAAACCAGCGAGCAGTATGAATTTGTGCACCATGCTCTGTGCCTGTACGAGAGCAGACTCTCAGCGGAAACAGTCCAGTGATTCTCTGAAGATTTACCAGACCATCAATCTCTAGGGGTGATTAGTCAATTACCCACTTGAGGCTTCTGGAAGGAGCTTCCTGCAATGAAAGGAACAAGAAGCCCTCCAGTCAAGCTATGGGATGGATTGTGAAAGACAGCAACATGTTAAAGATTGCCAGCCCCTTGTGTACATGAATGCATTTGTAAGCGTCTCCTAAGTTATTTTGAAGGTCCTCTAGTGATGGAGGTATGACAGACTTTTCACACAGCTAAGGGGGATTTTGTTTTGTCTGTATTGATTATCTGCCACACAGAATGTATGTATGGAATACTGAGTGATATATGTCATCAGATGATGACTGAAGAGCTGCTGAAGAAATTATTGTGTGTTTCGATGCTTTAATGTTTGCAAAATCTGTCTCGTGAATGGACTGTCAGCTGTTAAACTGTTCCTTTTTAAGTGCTATTATCTTTCTCAGTTACCAGAATCTTGCCGCTAAAGTTGCAAGTGATTGATAAGAGGATTTTTAACAAATAAGTACTTGTTTTTGGGAAAAAAAAAATCAAAAGCAGTAACTATTTTATATGGAACTGTGTCTTGATAATATTACTTATTAAATGTGTATTTATCAGTACCTCCTGTCAATCAATGAACAGAGCACAATGACTGTCACTGGGTATATATGTATTTATTCTCTATTGCTGAGCATAGCGGTGGCTTCTGCTCCAAGACTCTATCCACTGTATTTTTACCTTGTGAGTCATTTTACTGTAAGAGGGGACAACAAATTTGTAGCAACTCTGATGTATCAAGAGTTTTAAATACTTTTCTCTTTCACTAAGAAGGAGTTTTTGAATATGCTGTCTACATGGACTCTCTTGCCCAGTAAAAGGCAGTTGCTTTGGGGAATGATGTAACCTGGCACATTTTTAAAGGTTCTTCTAAAGGATGCTGCCATGGCTACCCTTTCATTTCCAAAAGGTCCTAATTCTCCAGAGACAAATAAAGATAAAAACAAAAACTACAGTCAGCAAACACTAGATGTTATGCTCAAATATGAATTTTTAATGCAGTTATGTTGACTTTGTTTCCTACTGCCAATAAACTACTCTTAATACTAACTATGAGTAAAGCAGGTATTTTTTTCCTATTTGTAGGGGGACTGTTATCTTTTGGGGCACGTCTGAAGTAGATGATGTGTTTAATTTTAGTCTCCACCTCTTCCCAGTGGAGATGACCATCTCAAATGTAATACCTATTGTCATCACTTCAAAGATAATGACCTCAAAGTGCCATCATTATGTGGTTTTCCTCAATAGGCTACCAGTATATCATTATAGGAACAGAACATGTTTATGTCTTTAGATCACTTGTCATAGACCCTCATAAATCACATGGTTTGTGTTTATTCAGCAAAATCACACCACCTGAAGAGATGTAATGTTGTAGGAACATTCAATTATCTAAGATTACAATTCCTTTCTTCCCTCTTGAGGTTAAGAAGTGCCAAAGGGATAGATGGTTGGAGAAAATTTGGGAGTTTTATTCCACTCCTGGAGGCTGGAATTTTTTCTACATAAAAAAAGAGAGGTGATCATAATCCCTTCTTTCTAAGGAAACAGACAAAAGGACACTGGTGTAAAACTTCCCCAAACAATTCAATAGGAGGAAATGCTCGTCACTGACTTTCCCCCCCACCATGAAGGCACATTTCCTTCCCTAGTCTTTGCTTCTCTTATCTGGGAGAATTTTTTCCCCCCAAGCAAAGCATGAACAGTTGTTAAGTGGAAAATGGAGGCTGAATTTTACATGGCGATTCTTACCTGCTTGATCTTCGGGACCTCAGGTGAGTGGGCCTGCCTCCATGTCCCCACGCATTTCTCTAGTAGATGCCAGAGGAGATTCTGTCCTTTCAGAAGAGCGGAAATGGAGCCGGGTCTCCATCCAGGGCAGTTTAGCCAAAGACGGTGAGGAGGGGGAATAAAAGGAGCCCGGCTGCCCACACTGTTGAAATTTCTCTCCAGAAGAAAACAAAAGGCCTCCTCCTGCCCTGCCAATGCCTCGGGCAGCTCCTGAAATGGCATCTTTACAGCAGAGAGGAAGGAGTCCTGAGGAGAAATTTTTAGTATTATGTAACAGTCTGGGGCATTCTCCATGTTTTTTTCCCAATGAGGTTGTGATGTGCCTTTCTGTATGAGAGTAAAAGAAAGAAAATATAAGAAATGTAATTAAAGGGATGAAGAAGGGTGGTGTGTTTAATTTGGAAGCTGTTATTTAGCAGGAAGGTCTGAATGTTTTCATGGAGCTGAGCATAGTGAGTGAAAGCACATTGAACATGGTTTCTGAGCTTGAATATCTCACTTTTAAACACTGAGGTTTAACAATTGGGTATTTAATTTTCTTACATCAAGAAGTGCTGATATTTTAATGTTTGTATTTGAAGAAAAATTGTAGGTATTGTCACAAAATAGAGAGATGCTTCTTTCTAGGACTATAAGAAATTTAGTTTGTGAAAATCAATACTTTAATTGGTCATTGTTAGCTAACAGTAAGGTGTACTTAGAAGGGTAAATGCATCCAATTTTTAAATTTTTATTTAAACTATGTAATTTATATATAAATAGTTATTGCAATGATAACTTAAGGATTACCAAAAAGGCTGCCTTTTAAAGTTGGAGGTGGAAGTGACAGAGAAAGAATAAAATGGTTGAAAATGGAACTGAGCTTTTCATAATTCCAGATATTTAACTAATTGGACTAAAACATCACACCATAATCTTTGGATGGTTTGTTTCTTTTCTAAGCTTCCTTTCATTACTTCAGTGGGGGCGTGTTTTCTTCCCTAAACCATGTGAAAGTAAAAGAAAGGGAGCTAAGTGTAACATTTTGACATTTTTATATTGTCAGCCTTGGGATTTTAAATTCCATGTGCTGAATCTGGGAATATTCACTTGAAGTGATAGTAATAGCAAAAGATAAATAAACCTTGTGTTTTTACTTGGCTGATTTGTGGGTGAGTTGTTTCATTTTCTGATGGGCCTTGTAGTTTATTATTATACATAGTACTAGATGAGTTTTTCATCTTCCAGAGGGGTTTCAGATTGTCCATACCCGGAAACAACAGTGCCTTCTCGAAAATAAGGTAGTGTCCATGGGCTTGTGCAACGAGACCAACCAGAACCAGCAGTGGATGTGGACTGAGGATGGAAAACTCCTTCACCTAAAATCTGCGCTGTGCCTGGGCATCTCCAATTCCTCTGGTGGCCCTTCCCGATCAGCCATCTTTGTACACTGCTCCCAGGCACCGCGATGGACTTGCCATGAGAAAGAAGGGTACCTTGAGGTGGAACATACCTCTCTCTTTCTCAAGAAACAAGGCAATAAGGCAGTGGTCAAGAAGGACAAGAAATACCTCCATAGCTGGATGAAAACAGAGGTCAACAAGGAAGGAAAACCAGCCAATGAAAACCTCTGCTTAAAAAAAGGTGAGCTATTCCTTTTGGAATCAATTCTAGAAGCTCTTCTGCCAAGTGTCCAATTTTTTCACATTCAAGGGAAGGTTACATGCTCCAATATAATTTCTATGGAAGATTCATAAGCTGATGGAAATGGATTATGTGGTACCCACTGACATGGGAAACTTTATTATCTTCACTGAAATAAGCCCAACTTTTCTCTTTTTGCCTATTTCTCACTCTTTCTTTCCTTCTTTTCTTGCTTCTTTTACTTTTTTAAAGATTTTATGTATGTATGTTTGTCTGTATGTATTTTTAGAGGAGGGAGGGGAGAGAGAAAGAGAGGGAGAGAAATGTCAATGTGAGAGAGAAAACATGGATCAGTTGCCTCCTGTACACACCCCAACCAGGGACCAAACCCACAAACCAGGCATGTGCCCTGATGGGGAACCGAACTGGTGACCTTTCACCTTGCAAGATGATGCCCAACCAACAAAGACACACTGGCCAGGAATCTTGCTTCTTTTATTAACTCAACAAATATTACACTAGCTCCTCTTTTGTGCCAGACACTAGGCACTTTAGTTAAGCACTGTAAGATACATGAAAACAGATCTAAGCATAAACACAGCATACATGTGTAATGACTAAAGCAAATGATCAGGAAATTAAAAATTTTGCTGATATAGACACTTTAGTTCTCCAATTATGAGAAACTATTAGACCATCAAAATAGTGCTTGAGAAGACTGGAAAGAAACTAAATTGTGCTTCTTCACATCTCTTGTACTAATATTTAGAGATAGACATCTTTGGGGAGTTACATACTTTTGAAATAGTAAGAACAAATGTATAGCCACAGAGTTTTCTAGTTTGTTAACTATTGATGGATATAACCTAAATGATAGACACATGGAAGGACTTGTATACATGGGCACAAATTCTTGCTGTAGCACACACATTAGTCCTGGGGCTAAAATTTTTTTATTTGTGGATACAACTTAATTTTCTGTTTTACTTAATCATTTTATTGCTTCTCTTAAAGGTTTGCTTCAGGAAGTCATGGAAGATAAAATTAATAGAATCATTATGTCTTAGGTACAAACAGACCTTATATAGTACTGGAGAAATTATCTAGAAATGAAGACACCCATCAAGAATACTGACCTTTGTCAAGGTTAAGTGAATTGTCCCATACAATTTAGTGGCAGAAGTTTGATTAGAACCCAAGTTTCTTAACACCTTGTCCAGTGTATGTTCCACTACACAGTGTTTCCTAAATGTTTGACCACAAACTTTTGCCCAGGTGGCTACATAAGAATCACCTGGGGGAAGTGAAGGAATCACTACCATCACTTCTCTCCCCACTACCACCTCCATGATTGCATTTCAATTACAGATTTGGGCATAATTCTTTATATGTTTAAAAAAGTCCTCCAGATAATTTTGATCTATAATCCCATTTATAGATCAGCATATACTGTATCTGTAAATCTTTTTATTAGATGTTGATTTTTGATGTTTATATGAGTATTTCCACCATGCTAATCTTTGGATAGTTTTCTGTTGCTCATTCAATTCATAAACTAACTAAGCATTTATTTAAATGCCAATTAAATGCAGTGAGCTGTTTTATGATATAAGTTGAGTTGGGTGTTACAGTCTCTATCCTTATAAAACTTGTATGAGAATAAAGTAAAAATGTAAAAGCCAATTAGGAATTTCAACTTTATGAGAAAATATGCAGCACCAATTTCTGCAATTTCTTTTCTGTAACTCATATTGTAGGATCTACCATAAAGCACATGGGATCATTGTAAATATTCTCTATATATGGTAGTATACAAGAAGTGAGATTCATCCCCATCTCTCAATCAAACTTTATTTAGAAGAATATTTTTTCATTGAAATTTTTTTAAAAAGTAAATATAGCTTCAGTAAAGAATTACTGAAGATAGAAGATAATTCATGGAAAAACTATCTCCTTTGACCTTCATACAAAACATGTCCAATGATAGACTTTACTTCAAAAAGTGAAGTGGATAGAATCAACCATTTACATTTAACCACTAAACAAATATACCTGTAATGAGTACTGGGGAAAAACATAGACTTTTAGAAAAAACAGAGTTAAAATCTGAACAATTGTGGTACAAAAAAATCTTTTTTTTTTTAGTGTACATAGATACAATACTCGCTTCAACAGAATTATAAGGGAACACACATTCTTCTGCTCCATCTCAAACTTACCTTCAATTAAAGATGCAGAATGATAGTAGCTGACCCACTGCATGAAAGCTTGCTGATTTTCTAGAGAATCCATCGTGAAAAATAAAATTGCATTCAGATGTTTGCAATGAATGATTCCAAAGGCTCTTTTTAAAGAGTTGATAACTAAATATTATAATCTAAAGCACAAATATGCATGCTGTTCATCTGCAACACTGGTACTTTCTATACTTTCTAGAATATAGAAAGTACCAATGTAGTTAAATCTGTCTACCTCCAAATGAGCTTAATTCAAGTTATTATGTTTTCATCATGCTTAAAAATTACCAGTACCATTCAAAGGAAGAAAACTAAAAAATTGTGTTTTGTCTTTATTGTTGTTATACAAAATTTCATTCTATTATTAATTATATCTGAGCCAGACTAATTAATAAACTAAAATATACATTGATTTTTTTAAATGAATTCAATATATGGTCTTAATATGATGCAATGATTGCAAATCATTTCATAGGTAAGCTATTTGCCACTTAAATGCAAAACCCAAGATAGTCCACTTTTTCTTGGGTAGCGTTCTAAGAGGAATTGTGTATAATGTGAAGACTGTAGTAGCAATGGTACAATAAAGCTTTTTAAAAATGGCTTCAACATATTGTTCCATTGTGTAAGAACTTTTGCTTGCATTTGTCAAAACACATCTTGCCCTTTCATGAACTGTAAAATGCATATATCTTTTTTAAGAATGTCAGAAGACTATAGACACCAAAACATCTAAAAATATATTATTTTTACAATTTCATAGCAACCATTTCAACAAAGAGTTAAGGAGATGTAAAAGATAACTACTCTGATCACCTTATATATTTCTGTATTGGATTTTCTTTCTTTCTAGCTACTTTATAATCTTTTAATACCCACATAAGAAATTACTAGAATTCAGTTTTGTCTCATGTATGAGTGAATAAAATCATATACTTAGATGTATATTAGAGTCAACTGAGAAATTTGTTATAGATGCAGGTGGTGGGTCACACAAAATCTACTGAATCCCAATTTCTAGGAGGAGAGCCAAGTCTTCAAATTCTAACAAGCCCCAAAGGTGATTTTGGTGCCTTCCAACATTTGAGAACCACAACTCTAACATTCACCAAATTGGGAAATTGAATGTTAAGACCAAAGCTACTTTCTTGCTTCTTAAATAGCACAGGTTAGAAACACAGACATAAAATGAAGGGGTACTTAACTAGGATATTTTATAGGTTCTTTCTTTGGAAAAAAAGGTGGTAGCCTAAAATGGAATGGACTTGTTTGGTTTGGGGCGTTTTATAAATAAATTTAGAAGGTTAATTAAAGACAATTACAGAAGACTGAAAATTTTTCCATAAGATACTCCACAGTTACATGCAATAGTAATAAGCAATGTTATTCGCAGAAAACATTTCAAGAAGATTTTGATCATGTTTCATCCATTGAATTACTTATGTAAGTTGAAGAAATTTTCCAGAAAGTTCTTAGGATGAGCACTCAATGAGTACCCCTTAGCAAGGAAGAGTAACCATAGGTTGACATACTAAGACATGTAATTACATGCCAGGTATTTGGAAGCTTTTTTTTTGGCCTAACCCCATCATTAAATCTTTTTTTTTTTTTTAGGTCTGAGAGCTAAAATTGTCATAGGTGGTAATCAACTCAGAGGATCAGCATTGGCCAAAGATCAAAATGACCAAAATGCTAATCTCCACATAAAGAAATTTTTATATCCCAGCAATAGCCAAATGTTTACTTAAGGGGACATTCAATCACCTAACTCAATTAAGACTGCAGAATTAACACCGCTTCATGAAGTTGAAAATCTCCCTAATGTTACAGTTGGGTTTGTCATGTAGAAAACATGGCAGGGATAAATAGATCTCTTGATCTATGGTCAGAGTGGCCCACCCAAGCATAATGGCAGTGACAGTGGCACAAGATTCTGAAAGATAAAGTCACAAACCAAGGGGACTGTCCAAAAATCTATTAAAGCTTAGATTTAGTAGATGTGCAGTAGGATTGACTTAACCACCAATACCCAGTTATATTTAAATTTCAGATAAATGACAAATAATTTTTAGTATTTTCTAATATACAATGTAATATAACCTTTGTAATATTGGGTATTTGAGATACCTTAAATATATTCAATTATTTGTTAGCACTCTAACTTAATTAGATATGATATGTTTTTATTTGCTAAATGTAGCAACCCTATGTACAGGTTACTTTATACAACCTTCCACAGTTCAAGGAAAGAATGCTTAATAGACATGATTTTTTTATTAAGTTTTAAAAGCATTGCTATTTATATCTTGCTAAATCTTAAAAATACCTTTTTCATTTTTATTCTTTTTTATACCTTATCCTCCTTATTTTTATATATCATCCTATGAGATATGTTATTTTAAATTGGAATAGAAATGAACAACAAGGCCCAAAAGAGAGGTCAGTAAGATGGACAGCGAAAATGTGATGATTAATAGCAACTTCAAGAGAGCTCCACCTAACACACAGTAGTTGCTTAATAAGTGCTTGTTTGAATGAACCAGTAAAAGAGTAGTGAAAAAGACAATCTTTCTTCTTCATCTTTAAGCCAGAAACTCTTCAGAGTTATGATTATTTAAATTGGGTAAGATTTCTGTCAGTTTTTATATCCCAGAAAACTGATTTACTGTGGAGCTGATGAAGCATCTAAACATACCCCTCAGCCCATAATTTACAGACCTTTCCAATGCTGCATGTAATACAACCATTCTCTAGAGTTTTGCTACATAGAGTGGTCCAAATGCCATCAGCATCAGCACCGGCATCACCTGAGAGTTTGTTAGAAGAGCTGAATCTGACTATCTCTGTTGAATGAGAATTTGCTTGTTAGCAAGATCCTCATAAGATGGAAGCACATTTTAAAATTATGGCTAGGAAAATGTAGTTCACAAACCAATTTTTTTTTTCAAGTATGGGCAATTTGGTCTTGCAAAGTAAAGCTGCAAATTAATCCTAACATCTCCTAAGTTTTAAACTAATTAACTGTTATTCCAAAGATAAGTAGCTTAGAATATAGAACTGTCCCATGATTTGGTTCTTCACACAATTAGGGTTAGAAACTGTGGTTAAAGAAATGTCATTATTTTCCAAGGAATCATCAATCTTCATGGCAAAGTTAGGCAAGTCATTAACAGTGATTCTCAATCTGGTATTTTGTTTAATGACCCCGTTGAGAAATTGTAAAAATCTCCCACAGAAAAAAAGTACATATGTATGTACATATATTTCAAAATTTGGAATGAAGCTTTTAGAGATTCATGGAACCTCTGAAACCAAGTCAGTGCACCCTAAATGTTCATAGACTAAATAAAATTCTGTCTTCTACACAGGACAGGGATGCTGTTGATAGATGTATAAAGGATGGGTGAGCTGAACAGAGCAAATAAGCATGGCGACACTCAATGTATCTTTGATTTTTTTATAGAACTAAAGCTTATCCACATGTCTGTCATTATAGGTTTCTTCTTTTTCTCAGAAAAAAAAATTGCTTTTATGTGATGAATCCATAAAACATGAGGGTGATTTTAACAACTCCTTTCTTCACCTCAGCTGGCCTGGGAGCAGAAGTTTCAGTAAGAAGCATTAGAAACACAGCTCCTCCCCACACTCCCACTGCTATTAATGCTGTTCCACACAGCCCGGAGCACCTCATTAGCAACACCACAGAGGCCTTCACAGGAAGTACTGCTGAAAACTCCAGCCAAAACAGCAGCCAGAGACAGCACCCCGATCTGCACGTGACTGGAAGTACAGAGACATCGTGGGTTCCCTGGACCACTCAGCCCTTCTCCAGCGCCACAGGAGAGGTAAGAGGACAGCGGGCGTGCGGTGTGATTCGCGAAGCTCTCAGAAAGCCAATCGCTTGAGAAGACTTGCTTTGCTGGGAAGGCTGGGAACGGCGCTACGCCATGTAGATGATGAGGCACTCCGCAGCCTAGCTGCTAATTGCACACGAATGCATTTTGCATATAATGCGAAAATCTTGAAAAGTGAATGAAAAATTCTACACTTTTCCAACATGAACATAATTAGGCTGCCGTGTCAGAACCGCACTTGTGCAGGATGGCCACATTTCTGAACCAAAGTCAGGGCACATAGTCTTATGCATACCTAAAACCAGGAAATGGGCATTGAAATCAGTACCTTGTCGGTTCCCCTGCATTTATGTCTCAATCATGTATCCTCATAAGGGAAGAGAAACAGTCACAAAGCAATGCAAGGTTTAGGAATCACTATTATTAATTTGTGAACATGGTCAAGGGGAGCTAAGTCTCATGCCAATTCCACAGCAGCATCCCCAGGAGGAGAGAGGAAGCGAAGAGCTGGGGGGCAGCGAGGACGTGGCCGTGAGGACTGCTGGCACCGTGTTTTTGTGAACAGCCCTTCATCTCCCCAGTTTTGCTTTCCACTCAGGGTTTTATGCCATCACTTTAGGCAATAATAGTGTAATTAAAGCAAATCAAAGAAGCTAAAGTTTCATTTGACAGTGTCTAGTTGTTTCCTAATAAACAATCCAGATAATTTAAAGAAAACAAAAGCCCCATACTACGCATATAACTTATTCATTCTAGTGCTCTAGTTTCCTTTATTTTGTGCAGAACTGAATATTGCCTGTGGTTCCCTTATAGTGGGCAGATACTTCATTATTGATCACAAAATAAATAGAGCCAGTCCTTTGAACAATTTTTGTGACTTTATCTCCACTTCTCCTTGACTATAAATCTTCCCTGTGACCTAGTTCTTCACTGGCTTCAGAAGAGCAGTGAGGAAGGCCTCGTGATTTTCTGGACACTCTTTATATGACTTTAAAACTCAAAACTCACTCTCAATCCATTAACAAAAATATCCATTTCAGAAAATAACCCAGACTCTAAATTCAATTTAAATGTTAGCTTCTCTTCTCTCATTATTTATTATCAATTTGAACTTGAAGTAGGAAAAGGGAGCATGTCCAAATTCTCTCACTCCCCACCTACCTTTTTATCCACCTCTTGTTGTTGGATCATTATGGTTTCAGCCCTGTCGAGGCTTGAAAAGTGAGAAAGAAGACAGGAAATGGAAGAAGGAGAGCTGGGACTTACAAATGTCATCAGGAACTGGCCCTGTGCTCTCCCTCAACCTCCAAATCCTGAGCCCTTCCAACCATTGATGTTGGGGAGACTCACCACTTATTTTGAAATGGAACGCTCCTTGGTAGAGCACCTTCTCATTTTGGCTGAATATGCCTCAGCCAAAACTGCATTCTAACATCAGTTTAAAACAGTAGTTACTTACATCTGAGTTTAAATATATATATTTATTTTTATCTGTGCTGATGTATATGTTGTTATATAATATACTTAAAAAATTCAGTGCATCAGGTAAGAGACATAATGGATAAAAATTACAATTGAAACATATCTGCTTGAATGATAAAGAGCTGTCTTGTAGAAAAAAATTTTCCCCTGCTCTTGTCCAGGATTGACCACTGTAAAACAAATGCAGAGAGAGCTGCCGAAAGTGGCAAGCCTCTTCTGGGATGAGCTAAGGGCCCAGCTCTAGAGCCCCGGTGCAGGCACACCAGCCCTTGGGCCCACCCAGCACTGGGTTACACAGCTCAGGGGATCCAGCCCCACAGCTGTATGTGCAAGCTCAGGTCATGGCAAATACACGGTGGGTTTTTTTGTGTTTAGCCTTTCTCTAAAGTGAAATCCACTGCTGTGTTTCTGACCTTTTAGATGGGGCACCAGGACGACTACGCTGTTACTATCTCAAGTTCCCATTATTCCTGAGCTCAGGCAAAATCTTAACTCTGCCCTGGGCAGCTGAGTGTGTAGAAGCCATGCTCTTTCCAAAAGCAGGTTTTAAAACTGCAGTTTCCCATGACTTTCATACCTCAGTCAAGACATCCATACCAGGTCATTATCTGATTTAGCAGAAGCATTTACTTTATAACATAATCAATTATAAACAGCTGAGTTGGACACTTTGAAAAGTAACTGAGTCTCTTGGGAGGTAAAATGCCTATCCTTCCAAAGTAATTTTGGTTTTTAGTTTTTCTTACTCTTGATAGAATTATTATTTATTTTTTATTTTTTATTGAGTTTATTGGGGTGCATCGGTTAATAAAATTATATAGGTTTCAAGCATACAATTCTATAATACCTCATCTGTACACTGTATTTTGTGTTCTCCACCCCAAGTCAAGTCTCCTTCCATCACCGTTCATTCCCCCTCTATCCTATTCCCCACTACGCCCATCCCACTTTTCCCCTGGTAATCAAAAGTAATTTTGAATGGTATTCTACCTCAACACTCCTAAGGGTCTAAAAGGGAAATAAAATCATTTGACTTAGTTGTTTGGAATTGTGTAAAAGGAAAATCTGCGTGCCCATTGTTTTCTTTATCAGATAGCACTTGATATGTCAGGATTTGGGGTTTGCTTAGCACAGTTGGGCCATGAGGAAGGTGGGGACTACACCTCTTGATGGAGAGAGCTGCAAAGTCACATGGCAAAGGGGCATAGGTATTGGATTGCAGCAATCTGTGAGCATTGAACAGTCTACTGTTGTAGTATTAGAAGTAGTATTGGTATTATTAGTAGTATTTCACAGATAGCTGCCTTAAACTTAAAGAGCTTAACAACTTGCCCAAAGATGGATGATTAGAGAATGGCAGAGCAAGAAGACTATGCACTAACATACACATACACACACACACCTGCACACCTAGTCGCAGTCTCTAGATAAAGCTCCTGCTAATAAAGGTAAATGCCAAAGGAAACACAATTTGGAACCCAACAATCACTCATAAATACAGAGTTTTCCCTACTCTTCTCTTTTAACCTCTGTCCTTGCGTCTTGACCTGCCAGCGTCAATGGTTTATCTTTGGAAGGTTATAGATTTGGGCTGGTACTTGGCTTCAAAAATCTCTCATCTCTCTTTTCTCTCTCCTCTTTCTTCCCCCTTCTCTCCTCTCACTCTCTCACCCTGGACATGAATTAACACATACCACGTGCCTGGAGTAGTGCCTAGAGTAATGCCTGGAAAATAGTGTGTAATTACTGTTAGCTACTATTCTTATTATTGTTACCATTATAATAGTATGACGTGGCTGTGTGTGTCTTTATAAGGACAAAAGTGGTAGAATATGAAACTTGTCTATAGCATGAGTCAGAAAGTACCTAGATCAATAGTTCTCAGAGTATGAACCCCAGACACATAACTTGTTAAAAATGCAACCTTTGGGTCTTACCTTAGACTGACTGAATCAGATATTTGAGGTGTAGGGCTCAGCAACCCGTGTTGTAACAAACCCTCCAAGTCACACTAATGCACTTTTAAATTTTGAGAGCAACTGATGTAGATAAATTTGGTCCCCAACCCACAATATCTCCCCCATGAACTTCTAAATGCCTTAGTTTCCCACCGTTCATGGCACTTTTGTCTAACTGGGTTATGATAGGGTGAGGGGAGCTAGTGCAGTAAAATCTAAAAAACCCAGTAGCAGAAATTAATTTATCTAATTACAGCCTCTTGCAGTTAGTTTCTAGAGTGTACATTCTTCAATGAATGGGGCCCAGGTTAAATATTTAAGTGGAGCCTAAGAAGGTAAGGAACTATTGCCAGACCCTAGGGCCTTGTGTAATTAGAAAAAGGTATTTCTAGGCACTAATGTACAAGACTTGGTAGTGGACCATGAGCTGGATTTCAGCACCCATGCACACCCTCAACCAGGCGTCCTTGTATACCACCTAAATGTCAACATACCATGTCCTCGTGTGTAGGCACTGTTGCAGATCAGGCCAGAGGTGTCAAAATGTGCCTTGCAGAGACCAGTCATTCCCAGTGGGCAAGGTGAGACAGGCAAGGAAGTCTGTTGGAGCAAGTGAGTGATGGTTGTAGGAGGAAGACTTAAATGTGGATAAGTGGCCTCTGAAGGGATATAAGGTGGGCCCTGGACTTCACTTTAGCTTCAAAACCTGACCACTTCCAGTCCGGATCCCCTCTCAGGCTTGGGACCCTGGAGGGAGGAGGTGGTTGGTATAGCAGTGAAGAGCCAGTGATCTGGTGTCAGAGAGTCCTGGTTTAAATCCTAGTGGTGTCATCTCCTCTTTAAAATTAGCAGAGTTAAGGGTACTCCGTCTGCCTCATAAAACAGTTGTGAGGATTAAAATCTGATTAAGCAAAGTACTTAGTATATTGGCTCTACAGGACAAGTATTCAGTGAAATTAGCAATTATTACTGACTTCCTTCTTTTGCTTCATCATCTACCTTGCCAACTTCACAGGGTGGTCATAAGAACCAGATGAATAACATTAATATGTGCAAAAGCTTTGACAGGGATAAAACGTTGAAAGTGCACTTAAAAAGTTCCTGGCTGGTTCTAATTCAGCTCAACATCCCTAAATCTTGCTTGGAGGCACAACTCCTTCTTCCCCTCCCCACCCTGCCCCGGCCCTGGCCTGGGAGAGGGATTGCATTTCCTCGGTTCATGAATAGCCATTGTGGTGCTGGCCCGGGTTTCAGTTCTGTGCTTCCTTCCATTTGGCCTTCAAAGGAAGGCCCCTGTGAGCTTCCAAAAAAGTGACAAGGCAAATGCAGAAAATCTTCCCCTTGCTCGCCCCCTCAAGTTGAGGGTAACCTTCATTATTGTGCTACTTAAATTATTCAGGAGGGTCTCCCTGCTGCCACCACTGTCAGTGGCCAGAAGTGAAAATGGGACAATATTCCCCTTTACTGGGGCAAACATCTAGAAGGAAAAGTACAAAGATGTAGAAAAAAAAAAATCCCCTATTACTCCTCATGAATGTCTCTTAGATTGTC